TAGAAAAAAAACCAATAGTTTTTTTTGCTGTATCCCAATATGCTAATCATAAGGTATTTTGTAGAACCCACGCAGCGTTGTATGACCCTGGTAGGTTTAGTGTTTCTTTTTAATTATAATAAAAATCATAGAGCCCAATGGAAATAAGTCACTGGTCTTTTTGGGTTATCCTACGTAATTTACGTAAATGTTAGGTAAAATGATACAGGTGTATTATTACACAAATTTTGCCATGTAAGATAATTGTAATCATCCAAAATTGTAGAAACGCTGCACCTGTATAAACTTACTTATGAAGTCCATATTAAACTACTTCCTTCAAAGGAGCATGCAAGGATCATGAAGGACAAATCAATTTACCGTTTATAGCAACAAACAGTATACATACCAACAGTTTGTATGTAATAAAGTCAAACTGTAGTTATAGATATGGTACAGCGCTGGATTAAGGGTTGTGGGGGCACTTGATTGCCACATCTTGAGGGGGCCTCAGGGCTCTAGCCCTGGTAGCCCCCCCTTTAATGCAGCCCTAGTGTGGTATCATGTAAATGGTTTAGATAACCGACAAGTTGAAGAATGAGAGATATGTGCAACATTTGAGAATCTTTACTGAAGAAATGTTCTGCCAGCCAGTGGCTTCTTCAGTCAATTAGAGAAAGGTGATTAGGAGTTTGAGGTTATCAGTCCCTCAGATTGATAGACCGAACATATCAACTTCACGCTGAGGGACTGATTACCTGAAACTCCTTCTGATCTTCACCATTCTTCTTTGTATAGGACTGATGATGCCACTGTGTGGCAGAAAGTTTCTTTAATAAAGATACCCAAGTGTTACACACGTGTCTAAATTATCGGACTTACTAGGCCATACTAGGCAGGTCCTCAAATTAAACAATTTCCACCCACATATTTGTCCAATCTATACCCAAAGCTACTCTTAGATGTTTCACCTGTTGTGTAGGCAAAATGTCAAAATATATTTCTATAACTATAATTTATTTTTATTACACACGCTTCCTTGCTGAAGTTTTGGTTGGATTATAAACAGATGGTTAGTAAGCCAGGATAATCCAATAAAACCATTATTTCTGGTTGGATTATAAACAGATGGTTAGTAAGCCAGGATAATCCAATAAAACCATTATTTCTGGTTGGATTATAAACAGATGGTTAGTAAGCCAGGATAATCCAATAAAACCATTATTTCTGGTTGGATTATAAACAGATGGTTAGTAAGCCAGGATGTGAGACCTCTACCCACTCTACCTGAGGTATCCCAGCGAGTGAGCACGTCTCCTGTATATCCCAGTGCTTAACAAAATAGGGAATAGCATATGAAGGTACAAATAAAAATGGGAACTATGGCTATAGTTTACTTAATAACATAAAAGGGCTAGAATACAACATATCCTGATGGAAATTTACACAATATAACAATTGACCTATGAGACTTATTACCAGGGGGAAGGGTAGATGTTATAAGTAACACGGACTAGTACTCACTCTTAATTCACCGACCAGCTGACCCGAGATTCCCAAATGCGTGGTCCACTACACACGCGGCTGTCCAGAGCTCTCGCTCGACGGACCTGTCACCAACAACCTCTTTGCCCCGCTGTTCCCTGGGCTTATATTGTAGTCAAAGTACCCCCTCCCCAATGGTGTATGTACCACGTGTTATGACCTGACGCTGTTAAGAACAAAAGACCTCAGACGTGGGCGTGACTACCCGACATTTGCTAAGGCAGGTGTGACCATATAATTAGGTCTCCCTAGAGACCTCACAAGCCCATCTGAACTGCATCACATCCCCCTTTCTCCCCCAATTTAAAATATCTGAGAACTAGGACAATTTGTCCTAAGTTATTAGACTATTTTAATCCTAACCCTTTTATTCTATTACAATACAATAGCAAATAATATGAATTCACACAGATCAGTAGGTTTAATAAATTCTAGCACAAGAAACGAATAACAATGACTCTGGTGCGAAACCTCCTTATCCGTCATGTCTCCTTAAAACTAAATATCGGGCTCCAGTGCCAAGGATAATCCAATAAAACCATTATTTCTGGTTGGATTATAAACAGATGGTTAGTAAGCCAGGATAATCCAATAAAACCATTATTTCTGGTTGGATTATAAACAGATGGTTAGTAAGCCAGGATAATCCAATAAAACCATTATTTCTGGTTGGATTATAAACAGATGGTTAGTAAGCCAGGATAATCCAATAAAGCCATTATTTTTGGTTGGATTATAAACAGATGGTTAGTAAGCCAGGATAATCCAATAAAGCCATTATTTCTGGTTGGATTATAAACAGATGGTTAGTAAGCCAGGATAATCCAATAAAGCCATTATTTCTGGTTGGATTATAAACAGATGGTTAGTAAGCCAGGATAATCCAATAAAGCCATTATTTCTGGTTGGATTATAAACAGATGGTTAGTAAGCCAGGATAATCCAATAAAGCCATTATTTCTAGTTGGATTATAAACAGATGGTTAGTAAGCCAGGATAATCCAATAAAGCCATTATTTCTGGCTTACTTCTGGGCTGACCCACTGATTCACTTCCCCAGGATGTGAACTACAGTAGTCGACTAATAACCAAGACTAATCAGGGAACAGGTAGGAGTTTGAACCTGAGGCAGGTGAGTCTTAAAACTCACAGGCCAGTGTGTTAACCACTGGGCCAGCTGGCTCTGAAAACATTAATCCAACTAAGTACAGTGGACCCCCGGTTAACGATATTTTTTCACTCCGTAAGTATGTTCAGGTGCCAGTACTGACCGAATTTATTCCCATAAGGAATATTGTGAAGTAGATTAATCCATTTCAGACCCCCAAACATACACGTACAAACGCACTTACATAAATACACTTACATAATTGGTCGCATTCGGAGGTAATCGTTATGCGGGGGTCCACTGTATATTTCTATACATCAGAGAGAGGCCAGTATGGGCCATCACTGTGACCACAAATTCAGGTTTTTGTAGACAAATTCCAAGCCAGCATGGCTGTGGCATGCTCTAATTCAAGTCCCTTCAAAGCCACCATCATGGCTCATGAATTCGTAATAATACAACTGAAAATAAATCATACAGCAGGTGGGATTTGAACCCATGGCAAGAGAGTCCTAATGCTCACAGGTCACTGTGTTTATCACTCACCTGCCATATATACCGTCCAACAAGGTAGTCCTAACCTATAGCATAAGGTACACAAATAACCCCCACATAAAAGAGAGAAGCTTACGACGACGTTTCGGTCCGACTTGGACCATTTACAAAGTCACACTAACCACCTCTTCCTGCCTATATATAGCCGTCCTGCTCCACTTCTGGTTAGTGTGACTTTGTAAATGGTCCAAGTCGGACCGAAACGCCGTCGTAAGCTTCTCTCTTTTATGTGCGGGTTATTTGTGTATCGTTCCAGTTAGGGTATTGTGCATTTTTTTGTTATTTATAGCATAAGGTGATTGTAAGGGTATTCATCCCTATACACACATACAAACTGCTATATACATAATACTAACTAATGTTTAGGTTCAAGCCCCAAACATTCTGTGATTTATTTGTAATTGTGTTATTGTGAACCAAGACTATGAAGCAGGATACTTCTCAAGACTGATGGACTGATCACATCACTGCTTTTGATGTCTCCATATTTAGTCACCTCCATATTCACTAAAGAAGCTTAGTGTATAGGCAAAGTGATTTGAAAATAAAGATACTTACCTGTTGCACACGTCTTACTCATCAACTTGTCAACATTGTAAACCATTATTATAATGTTAATCTAGCACCTACAGGAGGGCCCCGTGTTACAGTGCTTCACATTACAGTGTTTCGTTGTACAGTGATTTGCTCTATAGTGCTTCACTTTACAGTGTTTTGTTGCATTAGCAAAACACTGTAAGAGATTACATACAACTGATGAGATTATGTATAACTTAAGGGATGAAAGAAGAGAAAGGAGGGATGAAAAAGGAAAGTGAGGGAGGGATGAAAGAAGATTGAGGGAATGTAGTAAAGAGGAAAGGAAAGGTAGGAAAAAGGGCATAGCACTAGAGCTCTTAGGACTAAAGGAGCCCTCCCTCCTTCCTTCCGTGGCATCACCCCCTTCCTCATCAATTGGGAACATTATAACATTCTCTAACACAATACTCACAGCTTTCCCCTTGGTTGTCATTTCTCGTGCACTGGCCAACAATAACCCTGGAACGAAGCGAGCCCCATGGAGTGTCCTGCACACGGGTGCAGCAGATACAAATGCCTGGTCAGATATGAGAAGTGTCCGGGAAAGCGAGGCGGGCACCAGTCTAGCCACCACACTCATTGGCCTGCAGAGCAATGATAGTATATCATAAAATTTACATAAAAACTTCAGTTCCAAACATGGGGAATACAGTGCCTTCATTACGAAGGACTGGCGGGAAAACTGTAATTTGGATAGTAATTTTGAACTGTGATGTTCGTATGTTTCTGGCAAGGCAACCAGTGAATGATTGTTGATGAGTGTATTGCATTTGGCTCATCCTACCCTGGTGGGAGATAAATATGGTAAAATAAATATTCAAGCATATGTATATACATTAGAACCCCCGTGTCCACTGATTCGGCACCTGCGGTTTCAGTTATCCACGGTTTACCATGGCCCAAAAATACCCTATAATTTTGCACACTAATGGCCCCCAAGGTGCAAAAGTAGAGAAACTGGCAGTTCTCCAAAGCCTAAGAGAAGGCGTGAAGTGCTTCCCATCAGTAAAAAACTGATAATTCTCCAGTTATTGTGCATAATTAATCAATTAAACTTTATAATAGGTATTTATAGGACTTATATAAAAGGTTTCTACTATCCGCGGTTTCGGCATCCACAGCATGTCCTTGGTACGAATCCCCACGGATTAGGGGGGTCCTACTGTTTATGTGGTTTGTGTAGGTACGTGTGAAAATGTAGGTATGTATACAGGTGTAGGTACATATGCAAGTGTAGGTATGTATGCAAGTGTAGGTATGTATGCAAGTGTAGGTATGTATGCAAGTGTAGGTACATATGCAAGTATAGGTATGTATGCAAGTGTAGGTACGTATGCAAGTGTATGTACGTATGCAAGTGTAGGTACGTATGCAAGTGTAGGTACGTATGCAAGTGTAGGTACGTATGCAAGTGTAGGTACGTATACAAGTGTAGGTATGTATGCAAGTGTAGGTATGTATGCAAGTGTAGGTATGTATGCAAGTGTAGGTATGTATGCAAGTGTAGGTACATATGCAAGTATAGGTATGTATGCAAGTGTAGGTACATATGCAAGTGTATGTACGTATGCAAGTGTAGGTACGTATGCAAGTGTAGGTACGTATGCAAGTGTAGGTACGTATGCAAGTGTAGGTACATATACAGAGGTTATGTTATGCAAGTGTAGGTATGTATGCAAGTGTAGGTATGTATGCAAGTGTAGGTATGTATGCAAGTGTAGGTACGTACGCAAGTGTAGGTATGTATACAAGTGTAGGTATGTATGCAAGTGTAGGTGCGTATGCAAGTGTAGGTATGTATGCAAGTGTAGGTGCATATGCAAGTGTAGGTATGTATGCAAGTGTAGGTATGTATACAAGTGTAGGTATGTATGCAAGTGTAGGTATGTATGCAAGTTTAGGTACGTATGCAAGTGTAGGTGCGTATGCAAGTGTAGGTATGTATGCAAGTGTAGGTATGTATGCAAGTGTAGGTACGTATGCAAGTGTAGGTATGCAAGTGTAGGTATGTATGCAAGTGTAGGTACATATGCAAGTGTAGGTACATATGCAAATGTAGGTGTGTATGCAAGTGTAGGTATGTATGCAAGTGTAGGTATGTATGCAAGTGGAGGTATGTATGCAAGTGTAGGTATGTATGCAAGTGTAGGTACATATGCAAGTGTAGGTATGCAAGTGTAGGTATGTATGCAAGAGTAGGTACATATGCAAGTGTAGGTGTGTATGCAAGTGTAAGTATGTATGCAAGTGTAGGTACGTATGCAAGTGTAGGTATGTATACAAGTGTTGGTATGTATGCAAGTGTAGGTGCGTATGCTAGTGTAGGTATGTATGCAAGTGTAGGTACGTATGCAAGTGCAGGTACGTATGCAAGTGTAGGTATGTATGCAAGTGTAGGTATGTATGAAAGTGTAGGTACGTATGCAAGTGTAGGTACGTATGCAAGTGTAGGTATGCATGCAAGTGTAGGTGCGTATGCAAGTGTAGGTATGTATTATGTATGCAAGTGTAGGTATGTATGAAAGTGTAGGTACGTATGCAAGTGTAGGTACGTATGCAAGTGTAGGTGCATATGCAAGTGTAGGTATGTATGCAAGTGTAGGTGCGTATGCAAGTGTAGGTATGTATGCAAGAGTAGGTGCGTATGCAAGTGTAGGTATGTATTATGTATGCAAGTGTAGGTATGTATGAAAGTGTAGGTACGTATGCAAGTGTAGGTACGTATGCAAGTGTAGGTATGCATGCAAGTGTAGGTGTGTATGCAAGTGTAGGTATGTATTATGTATGCAAGTGTAGGTATGTATGAAAGTGTAGGTACGTATGCAAGTGTAGGTACGTATGCAAGTGTAGGTATGCATGCAAGTGTAGGTGCGTATGCAAGTGTAGGTATGTATTATGTATGCAAGTGTAGGTATGTATGAAAGTGTAGGTACGTATGCAAGTGTAGGTACGTATGCAAGTGTAGGTACGTATGCAAGTGTAGGTGCATATGCAAGTGTAGGTATGTATGCAAGTGTAGGTATGTATGCAAGTGTAGGTGCGTATGCAAGTGTAGGTATGTATTATGTATGCAAGTGTAGGTATGTATGAAAGTGTAGGTACGTATGCAAGTGTAGGTACGTATGCAAGTGTAGGTACGTATGCAAGTGTAGGTGCATATGCAAGTGTAGGTATGTATTATGTATGCAAGTGTAGGTATGTATGAAAGTGTAGGTACGTATGCAAGTGTAGGTACGTATGCAAGTGTAGGTGCGTATGCAAGTGTAGGTATGTATGCAAGTGTAGGTATGTATTATGTATGCAAGTGTAGGTATGTATGAAAGTGTAGGTACGTATGCAAGTGTAGGTACGTATGCAAGTGTAGGTACGTATGCAAGTGTAGGTATGTATGCAAGTGTAGGTATGTATGCAAGTGTAGGTATGTATTATGTATGCAATTGTAGGTATGTATGAAAGCATAGGTACATATGTAAGTGTAGGTACGTATGCAAGTGTAGGTATGTATGCAAGTGTAGCAAGTGTAGGTATGTATGCAAGTGTAGGTATGTATTATGTATGCAAGTGTAGCAAGTGTAGGTACGTATGCAAGTGTAGGTATGTATGCAAGTGTAGCAAGTGTAGGTATGTATGAAAGTGTAGGTACGTATGCAAGTGTAGGTACGTATGCAAGTGTAGGTATGCATGCAAGTGTAGGTGCGTATGCAAGTGTAGGTATGTATGCAAGTGTAGGTATGTATGAAAGTGTAGGTACGTATGCAAGTGTAGGTACGTATGCAAGTGTAGGTATGCATGCAAGTGTAGGTGCGTATGCAAGTGTAGGTATGTATGCAAGTGTAGGTGCGTATGCAAGTGTAGGTATGTATTATGTATGCAAGTGTAGGTATGTATGAAAGTGTAGGTACGTATGCAAGTGTAGCAAGTGTAGGTATGTATGCAAGTGTAGGTATGTATTATGTATACAAGTGTAGGTATGTATACAAGTGTAGGTATGTATACATGTGTATGTATGTGCAGGTATTTATGCAGATGTAGGGGGTAAAACAAAATCTTCAGTTAATATCGTGCGAGGCAATAACAAAGAAAGACATTTAGAAACCCTAGGCAATGATAATAGAAAAATTGACAGACAAGCAAAGATGAACATGGAGAATATAGAGAATTAAAAGTATCTTTGCTTGCATATTATACATATATCTGTAGCACTGAAAATACAACACATGTGATAAGATTAACTGCACGGAAAGGGAGGGGAGAGAAGGGAGGAATGGAAAGGAAGGGAAAGGGAGGGGGTGAAGGGAAAGGGAGGGTGGGGAAGGAAGGGAGGAGTGGAAAGGAAGGGAAAGGGAGGGGGTGAAGGGAAAAGGAGGAGTGGAAAGGAAGGGAAAGGGAGGGGGTGAAGGGAAAGGGAGGGTGGGGAAGGAAGGGAGGAGTGGAAAGGAAGGGAAAGGGATGGGGTGAAGGGAAAGGGAGGGAGGAAGGGTAAGGGAGGGAATAAGGGAAAGGGAGGGAGGGAGAGTGGAAGGGAAAGGGAGGAAGTTTAAGTACAGGTACACATAAGTATAATTATCATACATGGTATATTATTATAATAACTAAAACTAAGCACTAAACCGACAAGGGCTTTTATCACACATAACATAAATTACTCCCCAGGATACCTGGAGTTTCCCTGGAGAGAGTTCCGGGGGTCAACGCCCCCGCGGCCCGGTCCGTGGTGGATCAGGGCCTGATCAACCAGGCTTTTACTGCTGCCTGCACGCCATCTAACGTAAGAACCGCAGTCTGGCTGTGGTTATCCTGGAGGATAATCTACACATATGCTGCCATGTGTGATAATTTATGTAACTGTATTTATGTGTACCTGAATCAACTTACTAAGTTTCGCCACGAGCGGAATCTTCAGTTTCGCTTCGTCTCGCCCTCCGACTCTAGATTTATTTAGTTATTATGCACTAGGATTAGTCTGCCCAAAATGCCCCAGAATGATAGCGACTTTCCTTGTACTTATTAAACCAAAACTGTAATTAGTTATTATTATAATCAAGGGGAAGAGCTAAACCCGAAGGATTATACAACGCCTGTGGGGAGGGAGGATGGAAGGTATTCAGACTTAATTCAGGGAGCTAGATAACAGATCCAGTTCCTTGGATCAACATTTCCTTAATGAATGTCTTGATCAGTATATATTTACACACTCAAAAGAAAATTATTTATGCAAAACACTTCTGGCAAAATGCAAGTTTTAGTCTTCATATTAAGTTGTGTATGATGAGGGAGTCTTCTAATATGTGTGAAGTAAGTGTCTGTTAATCTTGTAAGAATTGTGTATATTTTGTAAATAACATTTGCTGAAGGGGCTAAAAAAAAAAAAAGACACATTAAGATCAACCTTGAAATTGTTGACGGTGATGTTGGGTTTGTTATTGTTGGGTTGAAGGGTTCATGAGGCTCCCAGGACCGTCGGTGGTTGATGTTGGGGTTTATAGGGCCACTGATAACCAGGACCGTTGTAAGTGAGCCACTGTTTTCCAACCTTTGGGTATCTTTTTTTCTGGAAACGTTTCGCCAGTGACTTCTTCAGTCCAATGCAGAAAAAGGTGGACTAAGAGGAGTAGTTTGAGGTAGTTAGTCCCTCAGCCTTGAGCAAATGTGTTCAGTTTCAATTTTTCTAAAGATTGGACTGAAAACATCTAATTCTTCAGTAAGCACTAGGATCAATTTGCCCGAAAATACAGTGCATATTAATGACTTTCTTTTCTGCCTAACAATGTTTTATTACATTTAAACTGCATTATCGTAGTACCACAAAGAAATAAATAAATGAATTTGAGTAAAGGGTTCATACGGTCCTCGAGCCGTCGTCTTCGGTTTATAGGGCCACTGACAACTAACGTCGTATCGAGACCAACTTTCCGATATACAATTCAGAAATCAAAATGTTTGTTTCTTTGGGTAGCATACCAAATGTAGTTTACGTGTAATAAAATCTTAAGCACAAAATAAGCCACTAGCAAGGTGTGTATTTTGGGCAAACTAATCCTAAGGTTTAAATGTTACCTAAGATACACACACAGATTAAGCAAGACTCCTTATACAGTTAATTACAATCATAAGTACAATATCTTATGAATAAACGGTCAATTACAAAAGAATTACTTATTATTTCAAACTAAAGCAGTTAAACTATTCAAGAAATTGCCTACCAGGCCTGTGGCCTGGTAAGCAATGCTCTCGCTACACGCACTGTTGGTCCGTGGTTAGATCCCCGACGAGGGTGGAAACATTATTATAATCAAAAGGAAGCGCTAAACCACAAGGGCTATACAGCGTTGGAAACATTGGGTGTTTCCTTACACCTGTTATCAATGTTCACCTAGCAGCAAATAGGTACCCGGGTGTTTAGGGACTGGTGTGGGTGGCATCCTGAGGGAGAGCATTTAAGACCACAATGAGAGTCCTCGATGATGCAATACTTTAAGTTATTCTGGGTGGCTAACCCTCCAGGGATAAAAGTCCCAACAAAATGTTCTTTCTCTTATCACTAAATCAGTTTAAGGTTTGCCTGGTCTGAGACCATGCCTCGTGGTGGATCAGGGTCTGATCAACCAGGCTGTTACTGCTGGCCACACATAAACTGATGTACGAACCACACCCCAGCTGGTCAGGTACTGACTTTAGGTGCCTGTCCAGTGCCTTCTTGAAGACAGCCAGGGGTCTCTTGGTAATCCCCCTTATGTATGCTGGGAGGCAGTTGAACAGTGTTGGGCCCCTGACACTTATTGTGTTCTCTCTCAGTGTACTCGTGGCGCCCGTTTATCACTGGGGAAATGTTGTATCTTTTGCCGAGTCTTTTGCTTTCATAGGGAGTGATTTTAGTGTGCAAGTTTGATACTAATCCCTCTAGGATTTTCCAAGTGTATATTATCATGTATCTCTGCTGCCTGCATTCCAGGGAGTACAGGTCAAGGGCCTTCAACTGTTCCAAGTAATTTAGGTGCCTTATCATACTTGTGTGTGCCGTGAAAGTTCTTCGTACATTCTCCAGGTCAGCAATTATTTCAATACACACTTAATATTTTACTATTGTAAATTGTACTAATTGTAGCATTTTTGTTTTTGCTACCTCTCTGCTATAATTTTTCTTTTAATTTTTGACTGGCTCTTTTTGTAATACACAATTAAAATTTACCGCTCCATATAGTTCTCTTCTTATGCCATATCTAAGGCAAAAACAATATCCAGAGAGGGCACTGGGGTATTTAGATTTAACCCATGGAAAAGGGAGAAAATGCCCAATTCCTCAGATTAAGAGCCCTGTTGCTGCAGGAATTAGCACTTAGTTTTGATTTTAATAATAATTTGCTGTTAGGTAAGACACATATGCAACAGTTAGGTATCTTTATTTCGAAACGTTTCGCTTACACAGTAGGCGAAACTCCATATTGTTTCAGACTATGGAACAATACTCTTCTCCAGACTGAGGGACTGACCACCTCAAAACTTCAAGGGTGATGGACTGATTACATCGTCTTCAAGTATCTTCTGCTTCTATCAACTTTTCTGTACTCGACTGAAGAAGCCTACTGTGTAGGCGAAACGTTTCGAAATAAAGATACCTAACTGTTACATATGTGTCTTACCTAACAACCTGTTGGTATTTTATACCTTTTGAAATAATTTGCTGTAGCAAAGAACACTCCCCCCCTTGTAGGCAACTAAGGTTAATAAAATACACATCAACATGAACTGTTTCATTTGAGATAGCATTTCCCAATGAAAATAGAAAATAAATATATATATACAACAGATAAACATTTGAGTAGCACTAAAATGCTTAGATGAAAAGTTTCACGGACAGCAGTACAAGTCTTTAATTTATATATTGCATTGTAGCTGTCACCCTAACTGCAGCCAAACCCCTTGGAAAAATATTTTATACAGAAAATTTTGCATATCACTTTGCAAACGACTAACTTATTATAAATCTGGTTTGCCTATGACCCTTATTATCCAGTATGTTTGTTCTCCCTCCTTCTCACTCTTGATGATATACAGTGAACAATGAGATAATGGTAACCAAAGTTTGTTTTGCATCTAATACAAATGAGACACTGGCTGACAATGTAATCTAAATCCACACATTCACTACAGTTTGTAATTAATTTTCAGGACTCTAGATTCTTTGTGTCTCTTGATCAACCTCTCTGCTCCAGTTATTACTATTACAATCAGAACTAAGTGCTAAACCCACAGGGGTCAGCTCCAGTTATACATGCATACCTGCCACTGACTGCCATATACCTACACCTGCCAACTGTGGTACTAGACACAAGATTAAGCTCAGTTAGGGGTTGGCATTATTAATGTATTCATATCATACAGTCCACACTGAACAGCTGGAAATAAAGCACAAATATTACCAGTCAATATATCCAGCTCCACTTCTACCCAACTCAAATTTGTGTATTATATTCACAATCACAAAAGGTTTAAACCCACAGGACCTGTACAGCGCTACACAGAGAGGTGCTGATGCCAGGATAATACAGTATTATATTGAGGAGTGATGCTGACATTATACGCAAGAAAACTGAAGGGCAAGTTCCTGTGCTAATGAGGAAAGTCAAAGGTAACATGAAATTTGTGTTACTAAATACATCCTGATCGATTTGTTCAATTTCTTTTTCGAGATGAATTCTGAGTGATTCACTCTACCGTTTCTTTCACCTCTAACATGTAGCATGGTATGACCCTTACAGGTTTAACACTTTCCATAAATACAACAACATCAACTCACTCAAAAGTTAAATATGGCAGTGAAATACCCCAGATTAAATATTACAATCAGTATTCACCTAAAATTTGGGTAAAATAAAAATACCCTTCAAAGTGGAAAAGGCAGGGGAAGGGTAAGAAGGGGGGGTAGTGACAAAAATACCCTTCAAAGTGGAAAAGGCAGGGGAAGGGTAAGAAGGGGGGGGTAGTGACAAAAATACCCTTCAAAGTGGAAAAGGCAGGGGAAGGGTAAGAAGGGGGGGGGTGTAGGGTCCTCATATCAGTAAAGAGCTACTGAGCTAAGGAATGGTAGGTACCCTTCCCCTCCTAGAATCAACCCTGATGATGTCCCATTTCAATAGCTGTATGGCCCCTACATGTTTGGCACCTCCCTATAAATAAAATACATAAAAAATAAACCAAGTGTATACTGTATACTGGCTGGTAAAAGGCTGCTGGGCTGGAGGCTACAGCCATATGGCTTAAAATCACAACTGTACTGTTGTAAATTTCTCAGCATTTAGAGACAACAATATACAATGGAATTCATGATTTAAAATGTTCTGGGACACTCATCTCTCCATATGAACATATTTTCTTACATAAAATGTTTTACACAAGCGCTGATACTATTATCCCACATATAGGTATTGTCTATGCACACACACATTATTTACAAGCAGTAATCTGTCTAACTTACCATGTGGTTTATCAAAAAACATGAGTCCAGCCCCATATCATTATTCACCCTATGTACAGTGCTGAGACAATGAATGCTGTGTATAAACAGTTTACAAACTGACGAGTTCATAAATGAGACACTTGTGCACACTTGGGAACTTTTATTCTGAAAACGTTTTACCATGCAGTGGCTTTTTCAGTCCAGTGCAGAAAAAGGTGGAAGATGAGGAGTAGTTTGAGGTAATCAGTCCCTCAGCCTAGAGTTGATGTGTATAGCATATGCTGTACTTTCATCCAGACTGATGGACTGAACATATCGACTCTAGCCTGAGGGACTGATTACCTCAAACTCCTCCCCATCTTCCACTTTTCTCTACATGGACTGAAGAAGCCACTGTGTGGGAAAACATTTCCAGAGTAAAGATTCCCAAGTGTTGCACAAGTGTCTCATATATCAACAACGAATGCTAAATTATATGTGAACGGCCATTGTTCACAGAAGTCAATTTAGGGAATGATGTTTATTTTCTACCCCAAGACTAAGGGGACGAGTTCTTGGACAAGCAACAATTAAATTGCGGTGAATATGCTCTGTGGGGGGTGAAGATGATGAGAACATCAAGAGTGAACGTGACATGACCATGATTTGACGTGATAGGTGATGTTCTTGATATTAACAGTGATACAATGATTGAGTTATGAGACAGAGTCTGATACAGACTATGCATAATGATTAAATGACGATGTATTATAGTGATAATGAAAATGATAAACTTGAAGAAAATGATCTGTGATTACTAATCTGCTCATGAAGAAATTAAAGAATAGTTTTAGAAGTTCATAAACACAAGCTATCATTAAGTATTGCATTTTTAACATTTTTTTTTTAAGAAAGGGGGTCAAATTTTGTACTTTAAGTCGTTGAAAGGTGGCATTTTCATTGGCAGATTTTATTATTTAAGACAAAATACACTGTGTTTCACTCATAGGAGGCCAGGAATTAATACTCCTGTTGTTGTAACCA